GGACTTGAAAACAACCTAAATGTCCATCAGTGTGCACACAGGCGTGCACACACACATGCACAATGGAATATTATTCAGCCATAAAAAAGAATGAAATCTAGCCATTTGGGACAACATGGGATGGACCTAATGGTGTTACACTAAGTGAAATATGTCAGAAAAATATAAATACCAAATCATCTAATTTATATGTGGAATCTAAACCAAACAAAAAACCAAGCTCATAGAGAACAGATTGGTGGTTGCTGAAGAGAGGGTTGGGGTGGGCAAAATGGGTGAAGGGGGTCAAAATGTACAAATTTCCAGTTATAGAAGGAATATGTCATGGGAAGGTAATTTACAGTATGGTGACTACATTTAATCATACTGAATTGCATATTTGAAAGTAGCTAGGAGAGTGGATCTTGAAAGTTCTCATCACAAGAAAAAAAATTTGTAACTATATATGGTGACAGATGTTAACTAGACTTACTGTGGTGATCATTTTGCAGTATATATAAATATTGAATCATGTTGTATACCTGAAACTAATATAATGTTATGTCAGTTATTTCTCAGTAAAAAAAAAAATTCAGTACTACCGAAAGCCCACATGCAAAGGAATGAAGCGGGACCTTTATCTAACACCATAAAGAAATATTAACTGAATGTGGATCAAAGACTTAAATGTAAGACCTAAAACTATAAAAGTCTTAGAAGAAAACATAGGGCAAAAGCTTCACGACAGTGGATTTGGCAGTGATTTCTTGGCTATGACACCAAAAGGCACAGACAGCAAAAGAAAAAAAATAGGTAAATTGGACTTCATGAAAATTTAAAAATTTTGTACATCACACGACACTATCAACAGAGTAAAAAGGCAACCGCAGAATGGGAGAAATATTTGCTAGTCATATATCTGATATAGAGTTAATATCCAGAATAATAGAGAACTAAAACTGAGCAACAAAAAAGCAAACAACCCAATTTTAAAAATTGGGTAAAGGACTTGAATAGATATTTCTTCAAAGAAGGTATACAGATGGCCAATAAGCACTTGAAAAGATGCTCAGCATCACTAATCATCAGGGAAATACCAATCAAAACTATAATGAGATACCACTTCATACCCATTAGGATAGCTACTAACAAAAAAAACAAAATAACAAGTGTTGGTGAGAATGCAGAGAAGCTGGAACCCTTGTGCACTATTGGTGGGAATGTAAAATTGTGCAGCCACTGTGGAAAACAGTATGGCAGTTCCTCAAAAACTTAAAATTACCATATGATCCAGCAATTCCACTTCTGGGTATATACCCAAGAGAATTGAAAACAGGATTTCAAAGAGATATTTGTATGCCTGTGTTCATAGCAGAATTATTCACAATAGCTAAAACATGGAAGCAACCCAATAGATGGATGGATAAGCAAAAGTGATATATACGTACAATGGAATATTATTCAGCCTTAAAAAGGAAGGAAATTCTGGCCAGCTCCGTGACCTAGTGGTTAAGTTTGGCATGCTCTGCTTCGGCAACCTGGGTGTGCAGGTTCAGATCCCGGGCACAGAACTACACCACTCATCAGCCATGCTGTGGCAGCAACCCACATACAAAATAGGGGAAGATTGGCACAGATGTTAGCTCAGGGCGAATCTTCCTCAGCAAAAAAAAAAGGGGAGAAGGAAATTCTGGCATATGCTACAATGTTGATGAAACTTGAGGACATTATGCTAAATGAAATAAGCCAGTTACAAAAAGACAAACACTATACAATTTCATTTATAGAAGGTACTTAGAGTAGTCAAAATTAGAGACAATAAGTAGAATTGTGGTTGCCAGGGGCTGGGGAGGGGAGTGGAATGGGGGATTATTGTTTAAAGGGTATAGAGTTTCAGTTTTACAAGATGAAGAGAGTTATGGAGATGGATATTGGTGATGGTTGCACAACATTATGAATGTGTTTAATACCACTGAACTGTACACTTAAAAATGGTTAAGATGCTAGATTTTGTGTGTTGTATAGTTTACCACAATTAAAAAAAAAAAAAGATTGGGCAAACTATCTCCTAACAAAGGAAGATCCATGAATGTCTTGGAGACATGGAACGCACTGGCCTGATTTCCCTCCCTTCCATCAGCAGGCCTTTTACCTACAATTGATTAGCTCTGTGATAACTTAAGGCTTTCTAGGTGAGTCCTCTTTTCTCCAGACCAGGGGGTTCCCAGGATGAAGTCATGGATGGAAAAGCAACCTGTGTATAGAAATCCATCTTTGGATAGATGAGAGTACCCTCTCTACTTCCAAACTCCCTGTTCTGATGAAACAATGCCCAGATCAAAATTTTCTGGTGATTGAATGAATGAATGATTGATTCAAGAACTGAAGAGCAGGGAGATGAGGGTGTTGTGGGGGAAAGGTGTGTTTAGTAGCTGTGTACTCTGACTCTGAAGCATTTGGGAGTGTACTTGTATAGAAAATAATAGAAATTTTGAACTGTGGGACATTCCTAAATGCTTTCTCTTTTGGTCTTAAAAAAAAAGAAATGTGTCTAGTAGCTGTTATGTGAAAACAAGATTCTATACACCCAACAGTTAAAATGTTGCAGGGTTTTTTAGTTTTAAAAAATTTCTGAGTAATATTTTTCAATTTTCTTGTCAGGTTTATGATGACCCTCCTAATAAATTAGCCATAGCCATTAAAAAAGAGAGAAAAGAGGGGGGCCAAACCCACGGCCTAGTGGTTAAAAGTTCAGTGCACTCCGCTTCAGCAGCCCTGGTTCAGTTCCCGGGCGTGGACCTACACCACTTGGCGCTGGCCATGCTGTGGTGGTGACCCACATACAAGATAGAGGAAGATTGGCATAGATGTTAGCTCAGGGTGAATCTTCCTCAACAAAAAAAGAGAAAGAAAAGAAAGAACATAGATTTGGATAACACGGGATCCCTCTCTATCCAGTATTACTATCTGAGGTTTAGCTATCTAGGCCCAGGAGCCAAAAAGGAAATGCGCAAATTAAAGCAGTGAAAGACTAGAAAACATTAATGACAATACTGGGTATTGGTGAGGATGCTGGAACATAGGAATAAGAGGAATATAATTTGACACATTGTATTAGTTATCTATTGCTGCATAACAAATTATCCTAAAAGTTAATGGCTTAAAACAACAAACATTTATTATCTCATAGTTTCTGTGGATCAGGAGTCCTTGCACAGCATGGCTAGGTCCTCTGACTCGGAGTTTCCCTTGACACCCTTGTGGGCTGCCCTCAATGCGAGATTCTCTGGGGGAGAATCTACTTCCAGGCTCACTTACATGGCTCTTGCTGGGCCTCATATCCTTGCTGACTATTGGCCAGAGACGTCAGTTCCTTGCCACGTGGGCCTCTCCATAGGGCAGCTCACAGCATGGCAGCTGTCTTCCCTCAGAGGGAGTGAGAGAGAGTGAGAAGTTGGCAAGATGCAAGTTACAGTCTTTTTATAACCTAATCTCAAAAGTGACATCCCAGTTTTGCCATATTCTTTTTGTTAGAAATGAGTTACCACGTCCAGCACATACATGAGGAAAGTTACACAAAGAGCTGATTACCAGAAGGCAGCTAGGAACCATTGTAGAGGCTGCCTACCATCCACACTTCTCCTTTAACACAGGAATTCTTTTTTTTTTTTTTATTGGTGAGGAAGATTAGCCCTGAGCTAATATCCAATGCCAATCCTCCTCTTTTTTTGCTGAGGAGGATTGGCCCTGGGCTAACATCCATGCCCATCTTCCTCTACTTTATATGGGACGCCGCAACAACGTGGCTTGACAAGCTGGTCAAGGATCCTGGGCTTGACACGCCCAGGATCCGAACCTGCAAACCCCGGGCCGCTGAAGCAGAGTGCATGAACTTAACTGCTATGCCACCGGGCCAGCCCAGGAATTCTACTTTTACATACTTCAGAAACTCCTACATTTGCATAAGGAGATATGTTCATTGATTTTTTTTGTGTGTGAAATTTTTTTTGTAAAAATAAAATTATTGGAGAAAAACTCAAATGTTAAGGGGAATGGATGAATAAATTAGAGTATAATTATTTAATGTGATACTTTATACCAGTTAAAATGAATGTACTAGTTCTGTTTCAGCTGACTGTATCTTGAAAACAATGTTGACTGAGTAAAGCAAATTGCAGAAAGATACAATATGGTACCATTTATATGAAATTTATAAACGTATGAAACAGTACCATATATTTTAGGGATATACATGTGTAAAATATGCTCTGTAAGGGTGGTCACCAGTTTTATTTAGTTATAGTAATCACTATAACTTTAGATGGGATTCTTCCCATCTAAAAATGTTAAAAGAAATGAAGCTAATATGGAAGAAAGTTAATTTGTTAAATCTACATGATGACTGCAGGCTGTCTAATATGATAGTTTGAACTTTTTTTAATGTTTAAGAATTCTATATATACATATTTATAGAATCCCAGCTTAGAGTTAGAAAAATTAGAAATAACTTAATTTTTTTTTCAACATTTTATTATAGAAAACTTCAAATGGACAAAAACTGAATGGTATGATAAATCCCCATCACTCAGCTTCAACAGTTTTCAACACATAATCAGTCTTCTTTCTAGTTTCGTCTGTATTCCCCTACTCTCGCAAGGATTATCTTGAATATATATAGTATCATTTCATCTGTAAAAAATACTTCAGAGTGTATTTTTAAATGAACATGTTTTTAAAAATATATAACTATGCCAACACTATCATCTTTTAAAAAACTGACATTGATTCCTTAATATCATCCAAGATTGAGATATTGTGGTCAAATTATTAGTGGTCAGAATTCCCGCATTGTTTCAAAAATGGAAAACAAGTTATCTCTAATTCATAATAGAACAGAACTTCTGTCTTTTTTCCTTATCAGAGCATTTCTTGCTTTCTAGAGGAATTTGGTAACTAACGCTCCAGGACCAAGAGACCAGCGTTAGCAGGGTACTAACCTTTCTCTGTGTTCTCTTCCACAGATACAGTTGGTCCCACCTGGACAGATCCAGATCCAGGGTGGGCAGGCTGTGCAGGTGCAGGGCCAGCAGGGCCAGACCCAGCAGATCATCATCCAGCAGCCCCAGACAGCCGTCACCGCTGGCCAGACCCAGGTAATTTCACCAGCTCTCCCAATACAACAGCACAACTGATTTGGAAGGGTCAGACAGCTAAGCCAGATATTTCACATGTAGTAGAAATGGGGAAGAAAGCCATTAAAAATGTTTAAAAAAAAAACTACATGGTCCTGTTCTTTGTGGTGTCTTTGGAATCTGTTAAGTTATCTCATGATCTGTTTCCTGCAGACGCAGCAGCAGATTGCTGTTCAGGGACAGCAAGTGGCACAGACTGCTGAAGGGCAGACCATTGTCTATCAGCCAGTTAATGCAGACGGGACCATTCTCCAGCAAGGTAAGTGTGCCCATTTGTTTCTGTGGGACTTTTGTGGGCATGTTTTTCATCCCTTGAGCAAATGACTGCTTCAGAAGTTTTGTGGTGACCTCTACACAACATATTTTTTAGCAACAAAAAAAGATTTCCTCTAAGTCTCCTTCGATAGTTCTTGTCACCAGTACATGACCAACCTTGATTCCATTTGTAGAAGTTCCTACAGTGGTTGTTAGAAGACTAGTCCTAGGGATTATAAAGATTTTAATCCTTTCTGGGAAGAAATGTTTCTAAAAAGAAGATTGGAAATACAGAGTTTCTTTTATTGTTAGAGGGAGAAATAGATCAGAAGTCAAGTTTGCATTTGGAGTATTGTTGCTTATGTTTTTTGTGTTTTTTCTGGGCCACTTCGTTATTCATTATCACTATCATTATAAAAAGACTTATTGTCTGCCTACCATGTATGTAACAGTTTGCTAGGAAAGGAGAGTTTTCTTCTCAAAAAGCCTCTAGTCTAATGAGGGAGACACACATGTGAACAAATAAATACAGTGCAGAGCCCTTCTAGAGGTACGTTCTAGGAATAGATGTTGCGTAAACAAGGGAGAGATGAAATCTGTTTGGCTTGGTAGGAGAATGGACATCAGAGGGGAGGAGATGACTCAAATTGAACTTGAGAGCTTTTGGAAGCATTTGTCGGTTAAATCTAGAAAGGGCATCTCAGTTAGATTCCATACCTAAAGGTTTGACTTGTGATTAAAATTTAGCAGTATACAAGATCCAGTGAGTGCAGTGACAGTGTGCTGTCATGTGACTCAGGAGAGGGCCTGAAGTGGATCGAGCCCTGGCAGGAGCTCAAAAAAAGAGTGGTGGACAAATCCTCCAGTGCTGCTATTGATAGTTTGGAGGCTCGGAATGCTTGATTTAATTTTAAGTTTTAGTCCTGCCACTGGCTGGCTCATTGTCAGTTTAGGATAAACAGATTATAAATTTATAAAATCTCCATCCTGAAGCAGATTGTTCAAGATTGTACAAGAGCAGCAGGTATAGCTGTAGTCAGACTGCTCCACAGAAGGGGAGGCCTCTGAACTTTCTCACCACCCATTGAAAACTGTTATTGGGATGCCCAGGGAAGTATCCATTTCAAGGATAGATTTATTCAGAACTGGAACCCAGACAGTTAATGGAATTACAAAGATTGTGATTACTTGGATTATATACAGCAAACCAGGCAGAGTGGGAGAGTGCTTTTTCTCCCCTCATGCTGTTTAGTATGTTTTTCCAGGGTGAGTGAGTGCGTGCCAGATAGAAGAGGGACTAACTGTGTTCCCTTCTTTCTGTGTACCTGTGTTTTGTTTGTTTTATATTTTATTTTCTTAAAGTTACAGTCCCTGTTTCAGGCATGATCACCATCCCAGCAGCCAGTTTGGCAGGAGCACAGATTGTTCAGACAGGAGCCAACACCAACACAACCAGCAGTGGGCAAGGGACTGTCACTGTGACACTGCCAGTGGCAGGCAATGTGGTCAATTCAGGAGGGATGGTCATGGTAAGAAAACTGATTCTTCAGCTCACTTTTCCATATGTCTGTAGTGTATTTTTCCGTATGTCTCTCTGTCTTTGAAAATTTCTTAAACTTGAAATTTGATGTCTCTCATAAAGCTTGTTGATAATATTGACCTCTTGGGATTGAGATTGATCCTTAGGGTACTTAGAGATGTACTTTTACAATAAGCATTACAATCAACCATAATTCATTCTAAGCCCCTAATATGTGCCAGGGACTATTCTAGGTGCTAGAGAGAGATAGCAGTGGATAAACAGATGTAAATATGTGCTTTTATGTGATCTTATTCAGACTTCAAATAACAAAGGGAGGGATAAAATACTAATCTTCCGGAAGTGGAAAATATGTTACCCATAGTGAATGAAATAAGAAATAAGCTAAAAACTAGAAAGATTGTAATCAATAGAGAAACCAAAAAATGTGTGATGTAAATACATTGGAAAGATAGGGAAGGAGAGTTGGATGGTGTGAGTGAAACCTAAATCCTCATTTGTCAAAATAGGATGTCAGTATACAGTACCTAAAATGGATAAATTAAACATGAGTAGTAGAAGCTTACACAGAGGTGGAGGAAGCTACCAAAAGAAACAGTTATACTTGGGAAGGGAGTAGGGCACAAGAACCTGTTACTTGTTTCCTTATACATTTAGTACAATGTTTTGTTTTTGTTTGTTTTGAAAAATTAGTATTGAATTATACAGTAAGTTAACTATTTGATTAAATTATTTCTATAACCATAGGCATTTGGTAGTGCTTGGTCAATCTGTATCTACTTTCCTTTGTACTGTTTTATTGTCTTATGATTTCTGTTCCTGACCATTAGATGGCAGCACACATTTCTAGAAAGAAGACCTATAGATGGACAAGAATTTGGACATGGTTGTGTCGTTTCTTAGTGTGGCTCCTGGGCCCCCCATGACACAGTCATCTGGAGTGTTTGTTTAAAATGCAGACCTTTAGTGTAAATGTTCTCCAGGAACCTGCATTTAACTAAGTGCCCTATAAAAGTTAACTCTTTGTAGCATTCAGAAGAAAACAGATTAACAGAGACCAAAAAACTGTTTCCTGTGTCTAAATTTCATTGCCACTATGTAATAAACTTTGATTGTCTCTTCACACAGATGGTGCCTGGTGCTGGCTCTGTGCCAGCTATCCAAAGAATCCCTCTACCTGGGGCAGAGATGCTTGAAGAAGAGCCTCTCTATGTGAATGCCAAACAGTATCACCGTATACTTAAGAGGAGACAAGCCCGGGCTAAACTAGAGGCAGAAGGGAAAATTCCAAAGGAAAGAAGGGTATGTATAACATTAGGAAGGATATAGCAAGAGAACAGCAGGGTTCTGCCTTTGAAATTACCTTTTATGTGGTTTGTTTCCTTGAGTACATTCCAACGATTGAAGTTAGCTGTTATTTTTTGTACAAGTAAGCATTTGTTATTGCTATATGCAGCTGTAACTACAATAACAAAAGAAAAAAAACAGCAGCTTAAATAAGGATTTTTTTTTTTTTTTTTTTATGTAAAAGAAATTCAAAGATAAATTGTCCTGGGCTGGTAGCAAATCTCCACAATCCTCAAGACTCATTCTCCTCCTCTCTTACTGTTCTAATATTCTTAGTATGCTATTTATAATCCAAATGGATGCTTGGGCTCCAGCCTAGGGACAAAGGGAAAAAGAAAGGCATCCTCTGTTTCAAGGAAACTTTCAAGAAGTTTCATACATGTCATTAGCCAAAATTTAATTACATAGCCACACCTACCTGCAAGTAAGGCTAGGAAATGCAGTCTTTTTCCTGAGTAGCCATTTGCCCTACTAAAATTTGGTCTGTTATTAAAGCAAAGGAGAGGATATATATTGGGAGGTAGGTAGTGATCTCTGCCATACCTTTGGGGAATCTTTTTTTATTTTTCATTTATCATTCACATTCTTATGATAATTATGTATAGTTAGCTGCTATCTAGTGTTTTCTCCATAATTCAAGGACATAATTGCCCCTGCTGGCTTTGATCACAGTTGTCCTAAACTTTTGAGGATGGAATTTGTGCATTAAATAACTATCTAGCTATCTAGTCATTTTGTTTCTCTTGTGTTAGAAATACCTGCATGAGTCTCGGCACCGTCATGCCATGGCACGGAAGCGTGGTGAAGGTGGGCGATTTTTCTCTCCAAAGGAAAAGGACAGTCCCCATATGCAGGTGAGAAGACTTGTACCTTTCATTCTTCTCTTTATTGCCTGTATTGTATTTTCTTGGGTGGAAATCTTCACAGTGTCCTCTTTCTGTTTTCACACTAGGGACCAATCACATTCTCTGAAATGTGCAACATTGTGTCTCTTACATTCCCTTTCATCTTAAAAGCACTAAAGGTCTTTAATCCAATGGCCTTTTTTCTCCCCCTGATCTTTGCCAGTTATTCCTATTAATTCTTTGAAATTCTTTTCTTGATTTTCAAAGAACAAGTTCTCTTGTCTCTTAGAGTAATAGTAACAGCAGCAGCTAACAGTTAACTGCTTATGTGCCAGCCATTATGTTAGCATTTTTATATGTGTTTTTTTTCATTGAATCTTTACAGCAACTTCAAGCCCTATGAGGTAAGAATTTTACAGTTGAATCTGGGGTTTAGAGAGGTTAAGTAGTTAAAGTAAAATACTTAATGAAATGGTGCAAGTGAAATTCAAACCCAGGCAGTATAATTCCAGAACTTACTCTACTATATTATACTGGTTCTTAGGATGTCTGATTCCACTGATTGTATCTTATCGGTATTTTTGAGTCAGTATATCCAAAGTAAAACATGATTTTTATTTTATTTTTTTATACCTAAACCAGTTGCTCATCTCAACAAGTGACATACCCATCTACCCATTTACTAAAGCTAGAATTGTCCAATTTCTGAAGAAGTCCTGTTGGTTTTACCTCTAAAATATAATCTGAATTAGTTTACTTTTTTCTCTCCCAGCTGCTGTCAGCCTGGTCTAGTCCTCTGTTCTTTTTTTGTTTTTTTTTAGTTAATTAATCAATTTATTTATTTATTTTTTGTGAGGGAGATCAGCCCTGAGCTAACATCCATGCTAATCCTCCTCTTTTTGCTGAGGAAGGCTGGCTCTGAGCTAAC